CCTCGATTGACCGACTTAGTACAGGACAAACCTCGGCCGCAGAAGTAAAAGACATACCTTTTTCCTGTAAATTTTGTTAAACTTCTTGTTCTTTTTGGAAGCTCTCTGTTCATTAGGAAATTATTAAATAATGAGCATAGTGCTACACTAAGGTCATGTTTAAAAATAAAAAAGGTTTTTTTATGCTTACAAAAATGTCATTCGCTTGAAAGGGATTGGGACTGAAGAAATTGATTGGTCGTTCCTTTGGACTGATAGACTACTTCTCGTCCATTTATTGTGAAATGGTATAAAGAAGTGAGCCAAATGTGAATGTCGCAGTCATCACATAGATATATTATACAAAGTAATGTAATAACTAGTGAGGAGATGGAAAGTGGGGAAAGGTGAAACTTGATACATATTTATACAATTGGGTTGGCCAAAAATAGATTTGGAAATAGGTCCCCATGAATTTAACTGATGATTAAAAAATGTTTTACAAAAAGCATTGATTAAAATTGTTAATGAGTGACATGTTTGAATAATAATATAATTCCTTAATGCATCAACTTGGTGGTTGACACTTGATGTGGATTTGATGAAGAAAAAAAAAGTGATGTTATTTCTACATATTTACCCAAGACATTGCTGATCACCTCTCACAAACATTGACAAGGCTCATTTCTATTGGAGAGGTGGTCAGTAAATGTGATATAAATAAATCACTGAAAAGAAGTGATGGATTTCAAGAGGTAACACATTTTTTTAGGTAACTCTTTGGGTCTATATAATTCATGGACTTACATTTCGGAAGGAGTCTCCCCTAGAAGATAAATTAATATTCCTTTAAACCACTCTAATCCCATGGCTGCAGAAATCCGCTATCAATGGCAATCCATAGTTTTACATGAGCGTGATTCCTTTATTTATGTCACATTCAACATTCTACTAATCAATCTTGCCCAACAAGTGCCTGCTCCTGCTCCCGCTTCCACTTCCACTTCCGCTTCCACTCATGCCATTCTTGCTTTTATAGTTCCCATTCTCCTCACCTTTGTTCAGATTAAATTCCAAGGAACGTCTTCACCTTTTGAAACGCACCATACCACCACCATGGTTGCCATAGCCAGCTTACTTGCATTCAGCTTGGTTGTTGGGGCCAGGCTAAGGTTCCCTACTCACTCTCCTACCTATTCTAGCTTCGTCGTAGGGTTCTCTGGTGTACTCTCAGTTGCTTCGCTGCTCTCCCTTCTGCTTCCCGATTCTTGGCACCATGTCCCATACATGGTGTTCTTCATGTATCTGATGATCGAGTGCTTTGCATGGGTTAGAAAGATAGGTCGATTCACTTACTAGCAAGCCGTTCATGGATTTCTTTGTGTGTTATTCTACTTATTCGAGCATCACCCTTGGGTGACAAGGGCTCGCCAATTGCCCTTCACATTTGTATGATAATGGCCTGCTTGAAATCTGACTTTCACAATATTTTCAATTTGCTTAAAAACCCTGGAGCTCGTGGCTAAGGATGGGAAGGATGAGGGTTCCAGATAGCTTGAGTTGATGCATGGATCATGTATATATGTATGTAAGTGTGTGTATGTATAATATTGTATTTTTGTATTCTAAGTTGTCTTCCCTCATACCATATGGGGTCATTTGGTACGGCAGACTGTTATAGATTGGACTAACTGTCTTGGATTAGCTTGGATTAGACTAAGCTAGATTAAGTATTGACCTACGTTTGGTGTTGTGTCGGACTAAGAAGTTGAATTATAAAAATAGTGAAGACCTATATTTGGTGCTCTGTTGGACTAAAAAATAATTATTTAAATATTTAAATTTAATTAGAGATTTTAACCTAAAAAATAATTAATTTAATATACAAGCCAACCCGTGTGAATTGAAAAAAAAAAAAAAATAGCCCAGCCCCTGCCACCTTTCTCTCTTTTTTTTAGTATTTTTTTTTTTTACCATTACCATTCGTTTAGATTAGGGAAAATAACTCAGAATTTAGTTAAAAATAGGGAATTTAAGAGGAGAAATTGATAATTACCTTATTTGGCAACTTAAATGTGAAATTTATTAAATGACGCTTGGAAAAAATCATGGAAATTGGGGCATCAAATTCCCAAGTTTAATTTCCATCGAAATAGGCGTCATTTCACAATTTTCATAGTGTCATTTATAAAATTCGACATACATAAATCCAAACACTGAAATTTTTAGTTCCAAAAATAAAAATAATGGAAATTTAAATTCTGTCATTTTAAAATTATATATAATTTTCAATTCCTTTATCTAAATGGAGGATCACGGAAGGACAATGCAATCACTGCCATGGGCCTCTAGAGAAAAAATTGGCAAGGTATATAAGAGGGCCAAGGCCCAAATAAGAAAGAAATTAAAGTAGAATTTTCTGTGGTCTTAACAAGACGCAAAATTTCAATTAATATACAAGGCATTGCAAATTAGTCACTCTTTTTTGAATGGTCTTCCTTCCTGCCACGCGAGGACCAATTGCTTGATTACTGAAACTATTTTTCATCCAGTTATTCAATTATTTTTATTATTTATTCAGAGAGAGTTACCTTGACGCACAATCAATTATTTTTGTTGTTATTCTTTAGAGTAGTACTAATATTAGTGGGGCATGCAATTTCTAGAGTAAGATTAAGGGCTCGTTTGGAACTGCTTCTTCAGGAAGTACTTATGCTCATAAGCACGTCTAACAAAAGCACTTCTATTATAAAAATTTAGAATTTTCATAAAAAATTAAAGTTCTTCATGGAAAAGTACTTGGGAGTGCTTCCTGAAGAAGCACATAGCAGTTGTTTCTCCAAGAAGTGCTTCTATGATCCAGAAGCGGTTCTAAACTTTTCTGCTAAACGCTGTTAGAAGCGTTTTTAGTTATTAGAAAGTGTTTTTAGCCCTTTTAAAAGCACTTCCAAACAGGCCGTAACTCAAATTTTGCCAAGGCAATGTAGATTTTGAGAGATCAGCATCAATAACAGATTAGGATGTCTGGAAGTAGAACCTCAAACAAAACAAGAAGGAGAAAAGAAGCCAGCCCATTTTACTTGATGACCTGGCACGTCAGACAAACCCCGCACTCCGAAAACAAGGCGCTAGATTGACTTGTCAAAAATGCGGATGGACCTTGTACTATCCATCTGGTCTTGTCTTTTAGTGGGGCAAGCGAATTCGTCCGCACATTAGAATGAACAATGAAGTTCTTTCACAATCCAAATAAAGAAACAATATATATATATATAACATTTTTTTTCTATAAATATACCTCATACAAAGGTCTCTCTCTCTCTCCGATCATGGCCGATATTTACTCTCAAAGGAGCCAAGCCATAATCTTACATGTACACAATTCCTTTGTTTTCTCATTCAATACTCTGCTTATCAATCTTGCAAGGCAACATTTGCCTGCTCCTTCCCCCCATTCCATTCTTGCGTTTATAGTGTCAGTACTTGTTGCCCTAATTCCAATCAAATTCCCGGGAATATCAATGTTGTCTTCTCCATTTGAAACCCATCGTACCGCCACCATGGTTGCCATTGCAAGCTTACTTGCTTACTGCTCCGCTGTTGCGGCTAGGCTAAGATTCCCTACTTACTCTCCCACCAACTTTCGTTTGGCCATCATATTTTCTGCTTTACTTTCAGTTGCATCTCTGCTGTCACTTCTCGTTCCTGACTCCTGGCACCACATCCCATACGTGATCTTCATCTTCTACTATTTGATGGCCGAGGTTTTTGGCTTGCTCGAAAAGCTATGTCAGCGTCGCATGACGCGGACACCTACACTGCTACCCATGACAGCTGCTGACATTCATGGATCATGGAGCTTTAATTGAGGGATTCAACCTCTCAACCATGAAAGCTGATGTTGGATTCTGTTTATGTGTTTGAAAATGCTCAATGTTTTCTTTCAAGTACTCTCATAATCATATTGGATGTTGTTGGAAGGTTTCGTTAATATATATTATATATTACATATTTCATATTAGTTTCTTGAGTCTTATATATTCCTTTTTCTTTCTTATTTCTGTGCAACTTGTTTTTCTTTCAAGTACTTACTCCTTACCATTTGAGTAAGAAAGGTTGGTATTCTTATCAAACTTGATACAAGTGCTCATAACTTGAAGCTCTGTTAGGTTACGGCGGTTTTTTAGTATTCTTCAAAAAGGCTAGAATAATAGTTTAGAAATCATTTAAAAATAAAAAATAGAATGAAATGCGTCCATATTTTCTCTCTACTCTTATCTATTTCTTGTTTACTTCCTCAGTTATAATATAAACCTAACGGAGTAAATACGAATGCATACCCACCCCGAGTGACCCAGATTGCCATCTCTATTTCTCTATAGGCAACAGTTTTTGGGAATTACCTTAACTATTTTCGATCAATTTTACTCGTTATTTTATTATAGCACATATGAATATTCATTCAAACTAATAAAATAAATAAATAAATTAGTTAATTCAAATCCTTGAAAATCCTTTATTTGTAAAATATCTTTTAATAATCTAAAATGAAGATAAATATATTTTCCTAGGTTAGATTGTGAGGGATGTACGACAGATTATAGTTTTGTCTTTGTCCCATGCTCCAAAAGTCTCAGGCCAGCCTTGCCTTTAACAATCAAGTCTGAAGAAATTATATATCAATGGATTTCCCGATGAAAACATGTAGGGGCGGAGGAGCCCAAGAATTAGACATAGTCATATGTAATTAGCGACGGGAAGGCCAAGAGTCAGACATAGTCACCATCGCGTTATGCCACAAAGAAGAATGGTAAAGACGGTAGTAACTTGGTGGATTGCAAAATAATAGTCATTTTGTTACTTTTGTCTCGACCTACCAAATTTCAGGTGGAACAAAATTATACCTAAGCCAAAAAAACAAGAAGAAAATAAAAAAAATTCTCTGAAAATAAAATGGACACATGAAACTCTTTTGATCATAGAAACAATCCTCTTTATTTATTTTGGAAAATTACGCTTGATTCATTCATTGAAGATGCTAAGGAATAATTGTACGGAAAAACATGCAACTTAAATCGCCACTGTAATTTTTCTGGCCTAGCAAAGTCCGTCTCAGTGTCTCGGTGCTCGGCATCTCCCCCAACTTCCTCTAGGCATCGTCCTAACCTGCTTCCAATGTGAGGAAGGCCACCCATGCGTGGCATGAAGAATAATGTCTCTCTCGTGCTTGGAAATGCTTTAAGATTAAATGGACCGTCCAGGTTTGAAGTCAGGCTATCAGATTGTTATTGCAGCTCATGGAATTCCTTTCCATTCCATGCTTGATACCTCCTTAATGAGCACCTTCCAAATCCTCCCTGCCCATGCCTGTCAAAAACAACACAAGTTTGGCGTTGCTGTGCTGTGAAAATAATTGTTGTCAGATTTGCTGTGAGAGAAAACATTTGTGATTAAAAAATAACATACGCAGCTTCTCTTCTTCTGCACTGGGAAGCTCCCATCCTCCTCCTCCTCAGGCTTTTCATCAAACAGATGGTGGGCAGTTCAAGGGTCACACCTCCAGCAAACTAAGCCTCGAAGCCAATTTCCATGACTGTTAAGGGGTCGTTAGACCCCTATGACCCCCCTGTGGATCCGCCTACAAGTTGGTGATGATACAGTCTACATAAAGACTTCCATTTCACTTTCACATGACTTTCATTTCGAGTGAAATAAAAGCATAGAGACAGTGGTGATGATACAGTCTACAAGTTGAACATATTATATAAAGGCATAGAGAGTATATATATAATATATTCGTCTTCAAGGGATTTAGGGGCGGAAGAAGAGGTACAAAATAGTGAATACACATACTTCAACAAACAAACAAAAAAAAAACCAAAAACCAAAAAACCTCATTGCGCGTCACCTGTGCTTCCATATTGTCTCTTTGATGAAAGTTGGACGGACCACCATGGATGGTGAGCTTCAATTGCAACAAGCTAAGAAAGCTAATTAAGAAACGGGACGCTCTGCAGAAAAGCAAGAACCATGGTATTAGGTTTTATAATGCACGTGTGGGTGCTTGAACTTTTTCTCTTGAATCTGGACGGGTTTGGTAAATATTATTGTTTGGTGAAGATTACCAAGTGCTTCATAGTTTTGGCCTCCGCATTGGCTTTTAGTAGATCCAATTCTTGTCCTCCGAATTCTCCTAAGCAGAAAGAAATTAGAATAAAAGAGAGGGATTGGGGAAATTCTATAGTGAGGATGTCATATATGAACACCTCATGTGAATCTTCATATTAACCACATAATCATTTTATTAAACTTAAGTGAAGTTGATGATCTATATACGACATCCTCACCCTCACAACCCTCTCATTTTCCACCCTCACTATAGGATGACTCTGACTAATAAGTGTTTTCTAGTTAAACGTTATAACAAGGCCCGTTAACTGCAATATAAAGCCCAAACAAAGCCCCCTCAATTTTCAACCTCCTCCTTGTGCCTGGCACTTCTCTCCACTAAGGTAGCCTCTCCAACCTGAAAAAAGAACAAAGATATGATAGATTAAGCAAACAATAATTAATTAATTAAATTAACCACTTTATAAAACCATTTAATAAAATGATTTTTTTATTAATTAATTTGCTTTAATTAATTTGTTCCCTTGCAAGTAATCTATATGAATAATACTAGTCTTACCACATTTTTTATACCACAATTTTATACCACATGATGTGGCGGTTGATGTGTACATACTACATCATGTAAAATACTAGTTTCTGTTTTTCTAATTTTATTTATTAAAATACACTTCATTCATTTAATTGATATGACATATGATATGGACATGTCATATCATGTGGTATAGAAATATGGGATAATAATGTGGTAAGTGTAGCATTACTCAATCTATATATATATATATACACACACTAGCCCCCACGCATGTGTCAATTGGTTTTCTTTTTTCTTTTTTTCTTTTATTTTTAGAATTAAGAAAGAATAATGCTACTCTTACCACATTTGTATACCACATCTTTATACCATCTTATGTGGCAGCTGAGGTGGACAGCCACATCAATTAAAATTATTTGATATTTTCTTTTATTTTATGATTTATTCAAGTATTTGTTTTTCTAATTGCCTTAATTAAAATACACTTCATTAATTTAATTAATGTGACATATAATATGGATATGTCACATCATGTGGTATAAAAATGTGGGATAAAAATGTGGTAAGTGTAGCATTACTCATTAAGAAAAGATAATATGGGTAGTTATGTTCCATAACAGTAGGACTTATTATCTGATTTTTTTTAATTTTAATTTTTTTAATTTGAAAAAATGTGAATTTACCGTATTATCCTTATTTAATTAATAATTTCAATTCTTAATGTTGGAATTAACCAAAATTATTTTCTGGTATTTTGAATGTTTCACCATCCTCTGTCTTTTTCTTTATATATATATATATATTCAAAATACTAGAAAATGCCATTGATTAATCCAAACATTAAGAATTAAAATTATTAATTAAATGAGGATAATATGGTAAATTCACATTTTTTTCATATTAAAAAAATTAAAAAAAAAATAGATAATGAATCCTATTTTTATGGAACACAACTACCCATTTTCTTTTTTAATTTCTAAAATAAATTTAATTTTTTTTAATAAAAAAAAGCCTTTCCCAAACTTGAAAGCGAGTGTGGAGAGACTAATATCAATAACGGGGCTTTATAAAAGTCAAACAAAGCAACAAGACGAGACTGGAAAACCTAGAGATCATTACAAGAACCCAACGTTCAAAACAAAAGCTACCTAAATTAAAGGACAAACTAAAACCATAGTATGAAATATCGATAATCGGTTTTTTCGAATCACAGATATAATCAACTTAAATCAGTTAAATTCATTATGTAATGCATTTCCATTATGTAATCCATTATGTAATGCATTTCCATTATGTAATCCATTATGTAATGCATTATAATCAAACTAATAGATAATTGACTAAATAAACATTCTCCAAAGTTTCAATAAAAAAAAATTCAAGTTTTTCTTACAATTTCCGTAGTTTTTATTCAATTTTTATCGATATCGATAATATTCCGATATTTTCATCGAAATTTTCATGTTTTTGGACTACCGATATTTCCAATATCACCGATATTTTAGACCATGACTAAAACTAACGAAGCAAGGAGGATGAGTATACAATTCACTTCTCGATAAACATGTTATTTTGTTTTAAGTTCATTGGTATCCATCCGGTCTCCATTTTACTAAAAGAAATCCTCTCATGAAACACAGTTGTTGAATCAAATATTTACTTACATAACATAACACGGTTGCATAAAAGCTTTCTTTCAACCTTTATTACGTATTTGTTTATTAAGATTTCTTTTTTCTTTCTTTATTATTTTTGTATACATCAAGTCTTTTTGTTTTGCCAAAGTTAGGAAGCGCGAGGGGGTATTCTCATACACCACTGCCAAATGAAGCCAAGAAAGAAGCGAAAAGGAGCCCATTTTACTTGATCAGCTGGCACGTCCTGGTTTGTTTTTTTACTTGTTCATGACCAAAACAAGACCCTAGATTGACTTGTCAGAAATGCGGATGATGACCTTGTACTACCCAACTGGTGTGGACCTTTCTTGTATTTTAGTTGCATGAGAATCAGTCTGCACATTAGATTGAAGTTCTTTCAGAATCCAAAGAAACACACAATACTAATATGCAACTTATTTTTCTTTATATAAATATACCTAATTTCAACAAAGGTGTCTCTCTCCGAGCATGGCCGATATTCACTCTCAAAGGCGCCAAACCATAATCTTACATGTACACAATTCCTTTGTTTTCACATTCAATACTAGTCTGCGTATCAATCTTGCAAGCCAATATTTGCCTGCTGCTTCCACCCATTCCATTCTTGCGTTTATAGTGTCAGTACTTGTTGCCCTAATTCCAGTCAAGTTCCCGGGAATATCAATGTTGTCTTCTCCATTTGAAACCCATCGTACCACCACCATTGTTGCCATTGCAAGCTTACTTGCCTACATCTCCGCTGTTGCGGCTAGGCTAAGATTCCCTACTTACTCTCCCACCAACTTTCGCTTGGCCATCATGTTTTGTGCTTTACTATCAGTTGCATCTTTGCTAACCCTTCTCGTTCCTAACTCCTGGCACCATGTCCCATACGTGATCTTCATCTTCTACTATTTGATGTCCCATATGTAACCTTTTATAATAAAAAAAGAGTCTAGGTAACCTTCCACACATCACTGTGCCTTGGTTGGTTCATAATCAAGTTGGCTGTTTGTTCATGGCTAAATGTATATTTAACTTGTTTAGTTTTTGTTTCCCTAGCTAGTGCTCCATCGTGTCTGGTGAAACTGATCCAGTTTTGGAATGAGACTGAAGTATTAAAATTGATTGAAACGTTCGAGTACAATAAATTTAAAAAAGTGGTTTAGAAGTCCAACCACTGTTTGAATAAAATTACATGATGAGAAAACAAATGGTTTAGAGTTTATAAACTAACCAGAGTACCCCCTTGATCAAGAAACCTTTGGGATTATAATTATGGGCAGTTTTGTCCTTCCAAACAAGTTTTTAAACTCCAAACTCTCGCATGTACTCCTAATTACCTTTGTTCACCTTCAATTCCGTCATGATAAAAGTTCATTGTTTATCAAATTAAGGAAATATCAAGTTAAGCTCGTTGATGCTCTTCTTTAATTAATATCAGGGGCCAGTGCAGCAGTAAAAAAAAAATTAATTAATTAATGTTTGCTGCGGAAATTCAAGTAGGCCTCTAAAGATGATCCAATTCTTTTGGGCCACAAATGAGCTTGTTTATGTGATAAGCAGGGCCTGAGACTTTCTACTTGAAGCCTGGTCTGGTGCGGGGCTTTGAATGAGCTGCTCTACCAAGAAGGCTAGAACATGTATTTAGATTCGACCGCATAAGCACCAGCTTCAATTAAATAATCAATTGTTAGCCAATATGGTGATTTTTTTTCCTTCTTCTTCTGGCATATCCCTTCACTTTGTAGGATGTTATATTCAAATCTCCTCAGTTGAATAAAAGAAAAAAAATACTTTGAGGAAATTATAGTAGTACATGCAATGCCTACTTCTTTTCTTCATCTCTTTTGCTTTTCTCAAGCCCAACTAGAGTGTGCATGTGATTCCATTGGCTGTTTGAGTCTCTAAATTTCAAGGAAAGCACAACACAGCAGCAACAGTTGTATGTCTCTACCTGAAGAATGACTTGCATGTCACGGGTAAAGCACTATTTTACCGTTCTCATTCAATCACGCTTCGCTACGAGTAAAGTATATATCGAATGTGACAAAATGACAATGAGGCGATTGACTGCCTCAATTGACTTGACGTGGCCTACTGGATTTATCAGTGTACAAAAAGTATAATAAATCGATTCAGATAGTGATGCGTAACTAATCTAAATTCTAATTCAGGTTCCGCGGAATAAACTTATCGGCACCAGTTCATCCGTGGGGCCTGATATCGATGCATGTTTCTTTGCTCAACGGTTGAGATTGTGTCTAAAGTCAATTATAGATTTTTTTAGAAGTTAACTTTCCGTACATCACTGTCTCCCCAGATCTCTGTAACCATCTTGATCTTCTACATCTGATTAGTGGTTTTTTTCCTGGGCTCCAGTGTCACTGTTGTTCCTCTTATTTGTTGTGGGTCAAAATTTGCATGGGATGGGAGTTTGTTTGCTTCGGTTTGAATGGATGACTGTAGGAGATTTTGGATTCACTTCTTTCAGCACAACTAAGTTTGTTACTAAGATAAATGATATGTGAAGGGGTTGGACGTATTGCAGAGACTAGTTGAGGAGGAGAGAGAGATAGATGTTCCAGAAAATAAAAATACATACTGTATATTAATTCTCATAAAAAAAAAAATTGTACTTTTGTTTATTTATTTTATCTTCAATTGTCAAATCCCTTTCATTATTCATCCTTTGGCTGTACTTT